CTGCCAACTCAAAGACAAGTGGTTTGAATCCACCTATGGCTCCACAGGAGAAAGATGAGCAAACTCCTTCAATGTCATTTACAGCTTCTGAAAATCTGATGGAATCTCAGCTATGAGTTAGCTCTGACTCAATGGCAATAAACAACAACACTATATTAATATGAAATAAGACAAAATATAAAATATCTTAATATATTTTTTAAGGGTAAAATTTATTGAGCTGTAGTTTTCCATTTTGGAAAAGCACATTATCTCTTTTTTTCCCTTATTGTAAAAAGATGTTTGAAAGGTGTTATTATTTACAAACATTTAATATTATTGAATAGCTTAGCTTTGAGGGCAGAGCTTAAAAATGTAGAAATAAAACAGAAATACTGGTTTTCAACAAGTAAAAGAACTTATACTACAGTGTAAATCAAAGCTTCTTTCATTAAGAAATTCTTACCATGGGGGGAAAAGGGCACTTAACTTTGGGTCAAAGAAGATGTGTGAGAAAAAAAATAAAAAAAAAAAAAAAAAAAAAGAAGATGTGTGAGGAGAAAAGATGCTTATCCTGAGGGTCTGGACCAAGTCTTCCTACCCTCAGGCTGGCCTGGTCCTGAAAGTGTCCCGTTTTGCAATAGAATACAAACTATACCTTTGAAAAACATAAAAATTAGTTCAATATTCTTGGTGATTTACATATATTATCATCTTGTGTTGGTCCTGCAACAGATAATTCACAACTGAGCATTGGTTTGTGGATAATACCTTAAGTAGCCTGTATATACCTCTATTTTATACATGTTGTTGTTGTATGCCATTGAATTGCTTATGATTCATAGTGATCCTATGTTCAAGAGCCCTAAATGCTGCTCTATCCATCTCATCGAGGGTCTTCCTCTCCTGTGCTGTCCCTCCACTCTCCCAAACATGATGTCCCTCTTTGCAACATGCCCAAAGTATGTCAGACGAATGATCTATATCTTGCTGACAGCTCTGGTAGCCTTGTGGGTAGGGAGTTATGTTCCCAATCCAAAGGTGCACAGTTTGAATCCACTAGATGCTCTGAGGGAGAAAGATGAGCAATCTTTTCCCATGTGATTTACAGCCTCTGGAAACATGCTGGAAGGTCACCTATGAGTTGGTTCTGACTCCCTGGCAATGAGTATGAGAGTAGTTTAATAAGTGTTAGCCACAAGCATTTAATAAAAACCAACATGGCCAGCTGTCAGTTAGTCATACCATCTCCTTGTCCCCAAAATAGCAGATAGCAAGCACTCTTCCTCCCTTTAATCTAGAATATACTGTGGACATAGGCTCACAGCATATGTTTTTGAAAGGTGTGGTCTGCATTCTATTGCAAAATAGTAGATGTGCAGGACCAGGCTAGATTGAAGTTAGGAAGAATTTCCCTAGGTCCAGAATAAGCCTCTTTTCTTCTCATACATTTTCTTTGATCCCAAACCAGATGCTTGCCAGAGAGCTTTCCTGCAACTAGCCTAGTAAGAACTGCCTAGTCTCTGATAAAGATCCAGAGACATGTGACCATACTGATAAATAAAGACACCAACATTATACATTTTCTTCCAAATACAAACTTAGAGCAGGCTTTGAGCTACATTTATTCCCTTTTGACCAGAGACAACTAGGGTCCCACTTACAGAACTAACTTTTCAGAGATTAAACTTCCTTGTGCACGTCACACTCACTGAGAACTTGGTGTATTTGGAGATGGGTTTCACTTTCCAGCCCCTAAGCAAAACTTTTCCCTAGGAAAAGTTATCGCAAGCCTTCCCCTTTTGAATTACATTACTTCAAGTGCTTTGATGCAGCACTTTCTTCTTCTAAGGTACGTCTATATATCTGAATTGCTGGCTCATAAGATTCATGTGTATGAGAAACATGCTAATTGGACTTTAACTCCATTGAAGGTAAGATGTATTAACACTGTAAGTTTGCAGAGTGATAATTAGATTCTAATTGATTTGTGAAATTAAAAGTGAGGAGAAAAAAGGAGCGTCTAATTGGAATGGGTGAGAACCAATTTCTCTCTCCTTCATTCAGAGCTGTCATCATCGTCTCGCGTTTGTTGTTCACTTTCACTCACCTGCAGAGTGGGAAGTAACGCATCACACATCTCACCTGTAAAACGTCGATTGTTTTTGCTCTGTGGAATTTTGGGCTTGGCGCTGAGCTCACAGGCTGTTCCTCATTTCTCTCTCTTCCTTCCTTGCTATCTCCCTTCCTCAGTTTTGTAATAGCTACACATACATTCACCTTGTATTGGGTACCAGACTTCTCTTTACAACATTTATAGAGCCCAGGTGAGCACAAGGACTATCTTGCATCTGGCTTGTTCTTTACTGTGCTAATTGTAATTTGAGTCAAAGTTTATAGATCAAATTGGTTTTCCATTCAACTACATATGCATATTTTGCTGAATAACATTCATTGCAATGTACACTCAATGTACTTGGACTTTCCCCACTTCTCTTGGCAATACTCATTTCTGTTAGTCCTCTAGCCTAACCCCTGGGCTTTATCTTTGGGGGAAATGTTGCTCTTCTGAAGTGATAAAGTAGGTTATCCTAAAGAATGCCTCCCTGAAGTTACTGGTCACTTGTAGACCTTTTTATTGCGAGACTGAAAGTTGAGTCATGGGGGTGACTTTGCTTCCAGGTTTTTATGGTGACAGAAGGTCATAGTCTCAGAGATTCAGCCAGTCCCCATGGGACTAGTAAGCTGGGTCAAAGGCTTAGGCATTTTCTTCCATATTTCCTCACATTCTTTATCAGGTTAGCCTACTATGTTTCCTTTCAGTGTTGTCCTCCCGTTTCTGCTTTATCTCCAGCTCTTCTTCTTCATTTCTCTGTGGTGTGTTCATTTTGGTCTTTAATGATTGGTTCCTAAATTTGTGTTTTCATCTTGGACTTTAGTGACTGGTTCGTAAATTTGATACGACAGTCATAATAACTTATATGCTGTTGTTGTTGTTGTTGAGTACCACAGAGTTGGGACTGACCCATAGCTGACCCTCCAGTGTGTTTTCAGAGGTAGTTAATCACACAGGAGGAGATTGTTCATCCTTCTCCCACGGAGCAGCTGGTGGCCTCGAACCGTGTGCCTTCAGGATTGCAGTGCAGCTTCTAACCAGTAGGCCACCAGAGCTCTAATAACAGATATAGGTTGATATTATCTGATCCCTAACAACTTGGTATTTCAGGATAGATTTTGAAATGTTCTTTTTAATGATAGATGTAATGCCATTCATCTTTGGTTTGTTATCCCAAGCATAGGAGTCTATACAGTGATATGATTTTAAATGGCCAATATCAGCCCATTTCAGCTCACTGAAGCCTAGGATACGGATCTTCATGCCTGTCATTTCATTTTGGAAACTTCCAATTTTCCTACATCCATAGTTCTTCCATTCCAGATTCCAATTATTTGAATGTTTAAACTTATTTCTTCTGGTTTTGAATCCTGCACACTAGGAAATAAAAGCTTGTAGCTTCATATGCTGTGAAGAGGTGGCTTTGCCCAGTTCCTTTGACTACTCTCAATCTGAGGGGATCATTTCAAGCACTATCTCACACAATGTTCCACTGCTATTTGCAAGGTTTGCACTGGCCAATTATTTCTGAAGAAGATCACCAATCTTCCCTACTTATGTGCCTTAGTCCGGGAGCTTTGTTAAAACCTACCAAGAATGACTCTGTTGATATTTGAGATACTGGAGGCACAGCTACCGGGATCACAGCAATCTGCAAGCCACCGCACTGTGACAACCTGACAATGGTGGCAGCACAGAATAGCAGCTCAATAATTGTATGTGGGATAATTGGGGCCCCAGGGTTCTGTGTCCTCCCATTTGCATCACTATTCTCATCTCAGCAGGTTTTATTTGCTATGGAATTCACTCTGTGGAGCTATTACTCCTTCCAAGGATAATAGCAGAACTCTGAGATTAATGTCAAACATATTCCTCACTTAAAGACATTAAGGGATCAGAGAAGAATGTCTTATGCTGATGGATGGGAGGAAAAAAAGAGTTGGAGGTGACTTGGGTCAGGGGATTCCTGCTTCATTTTCCCCACCTGTTTTGGCCAACTTTTCCTAATTCCAGGGTAAAAAGGATAATGATTCTGAATGCAGATGAGAGGAAATCTGTGGTGCTAAAAGCTTGCCAGTTCCTCAAATGGAAGGACTTGCGGGGACGGCTCTCATTTTGAATGGGAGGTGCAGGACAGTGGTGACTCACTGCAGCTGTCTAGCATATGCTTTGGGCATTGCAATGAGTCATGACCGGGTCTCTAGACACTGAGGAATGGTGGACTCTGTTTGAGGTCCAGGGTAGACACTGTTTTTCCAGCTGAGAGTTAGAAGTAAACAAATAGATGAGATTTCTCCCTGGTAGAAGCCAGCCAAGATGATGAATAGTGAAATTAAGATTTGTTGCTATTATTTATGATCTTGCTACTAAGACTTGACAGGAATCTGTGCAATCATTTCACACTTGCAACTTATATTTAGAAAATAAACAGCGGAAGAGAAGGACATTGAATAACAATGGGGAAACTAAGAACAAACTTTTCCTCCCCTCGAAGGTGAAAACGAGATTCTGTGTGATAATTTCTGCTCAGCCTATGGTTAGCCATTCAAGGGCCTGCATTTCAATCCCAGTCCCATTAGAAACAAACCAACATTTTCTGGTGGTTTTCTGAATGTGTGTAAAAGTATCATTTAAATATGCCCTTTTGGAATAAAGTTTTATAGGGCTACATTTAAAATGTTCCCTGCTCCTGCTGTTGTTTTGTTTGTTGTTGTGGTTTGGTTTGTAAACAGTAGTAGGGCTGACATGCTTAATTGATTTAATCACTCGATAGTAGCCCTTGTAGCTTTCCATATCCTCTCTCTACCTATCTCTCCTGGAAATTGGCATAATACTAATGTGGGCAAAAAGACAGAAATATTCCCTGAGCTTGACTGTAGAGAGCAGAACTGTGGGGTCTCTGGCACCTGCAGGGTGGTGGCCAAGGATAACAGGATAACTTTCCTTCACATATCATCCCACCATGTCTCAATTTCTGTCCACTTGCTGTCTTTTGTTCTGTTTTTAATTTTCAAAGTCATTGACTTTTAACACACTGGTGGACAACATATCAGTGGACCCAGTAACAGGTGACCTCTGGGTTGGATGTCATCCCAATGGTATGAGGATCTTTTACTACGACGCAAAGAATCCTCCTGGATCAGAGGTAAGTTTGAAAAAGGAATTAGAGCTATGACTTTATGTCATGCTACTGTTTTCCATTGAAAAACCTCTCATTTATTTGTGCAAATAACAGAGGAAATGGATATATAAGTGTTTCAAAATAAGAAGGACTTAGATGGTGGGAAGTGTTGCAGTCAGAGTCCCAGCAGGAAACAGATGATACAATCAAATGGGAGGGCAGTTAAAGCAGTGGATTGCTAACAGGAAGATTGGTAGTTTCAATCCACCACTCACTCAGTGGTAGAAAGATGAGGCAGTCTGCTCTTGTAAAGATTTATAACCCTGGAAACCGTGTGGGGCGGTTCTATTCTGTCCTATGGGGTTGCTGCATTGGAATCAATTCAAGGGCGATGGATTGGGTTTTATTTACTTTATTGATGTAGGAAGTTCTGGTGGTCTGGTGGGTAAGCAATTTTGCTGTCAATTGAAAGGTATGTGGTTCGAATCCACAAGCTGCTCTGTAAGATGGGCAATCTCCTCCTGTATGATTTACAGCCCCTGAAAACTTGTGGGAGAGTCAGCTACGAGTCCTTTTTTACTTAAGAGCACATAACAACAAAACTAATATCAATATATGAGCAGAGTGTAGGGAAATTAGCAGAGATAAAGCAAAGGGAGAAGTCTGTGTGGCGCAAGAAAAAAGTGTTTACTAATTAACTGGTTGGTGGTTCAAATCTATCCAGGGTACCTCAAAGATCATAGCCACTGAACACTTTATATAGCGAGTGCATGCATGGCTTGTTTTAGTTGGAATCGACTTGCTCCTGCCAACTGAATAATGAAGGGGGGACAGGGAATGACTACCAGAAGCCTGTGTGTGGAGAGCATACACTTTCTTGTCTAAATGACATAGCCAACCAGCAGTGATTTCTCAGGGAGAAAGTCTGCAGGTAAATATAGCACCTCTCACTACTTTCATGCGCTGCTGCTTCACTTCATGGCCAAACCCAGCTGGAAGCTGCAGGAGGGAAAGACAGCTTTCCAAGGTGGCCTCTGTACAAGACAGGGTACAGAGTATCTTGGAAGACTGGGTTAGGAGAACGAGCATGGGATGGGAATCCATACCTTTATTTGAATACTAATTTTCTCCAATTTGAGAATTCACAAGAATTCGAAAACTGTAATGGGATCCTACTATTATGGTCTAACCATTTGTTTATCTGCCTTCCTATTCAACTACATCTGTATGTCAGCACTCCTCTGGAGTTAATGCAAAAGATCAGTCTTGAAAGAACAACTAGTCATCTTTCTAGATCTTTCCTGTAGAATGAGAAGGCTCACTGGCATTATTTTTGCTTAAAAGGCCTTTTTTTTTTCTTTTTCCCGAGCTTAGAGTTGCAAATCTTTTAATTATACCCAAAGGTCCTATTTGTGTCCATAGTCTTTACTCAATGGATATTCAAGATATGAAAATAAATTATGAAACCATTTTCTCATTGTTGTTGTTTGTTGTTAAGTGCTGTCGAGTCACAGGCAACTCATAATGACCCTATGAAGGAGAGTCCTCGATGCTTGGGTGCCTTTCATCCTCTCTCCAGGTCCATAGGGTTTCCAGAGGCAAGCTATTATGGAAGTGGATGCCACTCCTCCTTCCAAGCATTTCCTCATAGATATTTGAATGTTTACTACAATTTACTGGCATTTTCCATCTTGAATTTTCAGCATGTAGTTGTATTTTACATCAAGTACATTATTTTATCCCTCCCCCAATGTACATTATTTTATCCCTCCCCCAATGTATCTACTTCTCTATATTTCTAAAATTTACTTTTAAGAGTCAGTCTCACCTCCTTCCTCTAAAAGTAGCAGCAGCAGCAGCAGTAGTAGTAACGTAAATCCATGTCTTTGGGTTAAAATAAGGCATCCATATTTCCTCCTTACATTAGTATCCTTTATACATTTCTTTCTAATTTTATTTCACAATTGTGATCATTTTAAATGATAATCTTGTGTGCTCTTTGCTAGACTTTAGCTACAAGGTTGCTATATATTATAATAGATTGAAGCACTGTATGCTGGGGAACTGTTGCTGTTTAGAACTGAGCAGAAGGCTAGATTCTCATTTGTTCTTGCTTGTTAGTGCAGTTGTGAATTTGGGTCATTAGCTATAACAAGGTTTTGTTTGCTGTTGTGGAAAAACACTTTCTTTCTAATAATGGATCTGGGGAGAAATAGCAAAAACAATCCATTATTGGATGTACTGGCCCCCAGAAGAGGGACTTAGCTTTAGTTGAAGAGTTTTCCTTAGGCCAAGGTACACTTTCAACTATTTTTCAGTAAGTACTATAAATTAACGTTCTGGCTGTTTCCTGAGACACTTGGTAGAAGAAGTTGTTTTTGTTTTCTTTTTAAAATTTTTATTTTTTTAATAATTTTAATGAGCATTTACAGAGATTTTGGATTTCCATTCATTCATTGCTGCACTTCTCTCGCTGCCCAGCCCTCCCCCCCAGTTCACTCCTCTCATTCAAAAGTAAAAGAAAAACTCCTTCCCTGGTACACAATCCCCCCGCACCCCTCCCACCACCCCAAGTACATTCCACTGTGCAACCTTAATTGTGGACTCTTGTGATAACCATAAGACCCTATCATACATCGCTTTTAAATTATTCACTCCCTAATCTGTTTCAGTGCAGTATACACAATTTATTAAAGAGGTGATTTTTAATGCTCCTACTGACGCTTTAGTATCTAAGCTCTGACCTTCCTACAAGTAATACTTGGTCTTTCTGTGACATTGATACTCTTTCCTGAAGCCATTTAAAGTAAAAATTGGAGAGTGATACAACATTAGACTTGAAGATAACCTACTCCTGCTCATCTCATTCTATGGACTAGGAACAAATGGCAGTGGGTGATGTAAACAAAGTCCTGTTTTCCTGCCTCACAATGGAGTGCTCTTAGCTGAACTGTATACAACTGACATTTTTTTCCCAATATATTACAGGTCAAATATTATAAATTTATGTTCAGCCTTACAATCATATTGTTGTTGTTGTTGATTGCCTTTGAGTCAAGCACAACTCATGGTGACCCTATGAACAAAACGCCTGAAGCCCCTCTACAACTCTCGACATTTATCAAAGTTCATGGAGTTTCCAGAGGCATGTTGTTTAGGAAGTGGATGCCACTCCTGCTTCTCCTTAATTAAGTCAGGGAAGAAAACTTCCAAAAGCTTCTACCTTTACAGTTGGAATCTTAAGTTTAGAGGAATGACAGAATGACTGGAGAGAAGAAATGTGTTCTTTTTAATCCATATTTCTTTTTCCTCTTTAATTACCAGCATTTAAAGGCAGGAATTCAATGTAAAAGTGAAAATTCCCAGTTTATCTATAAAAGTATTATTAACCTGAATTCCAGCATGATAACAATTACTGTGTATAAGCAGCAGCTGTTCTTTCCCCAGAGTCCTCACTGCTTCCTAGACTCCTACACCTGGTTGTGTCATTCATTTCTAGTTCCTGCCTAGCCCCTGTAAGCCTATGTCCTCTTGCCTCTGTTAATGGTCATCGAATAAAAAAAACTGTCATTTTGATAAAAAAACTATGGTATAGTCACAAAATGGAGTATTATGCAACATGAAAAAATGAAGAATGCATGAAACATTGCATAAACATGGATGAATTTTGAGGACATTATGCTGAGTGAACTAAGTCAACCATATAAGGACAAATATAAGACTACCATTATAAAAGTCTAAAGAGAGATTTATGTGTAGATGGAATAATTCCGGTATGATTACCAAAGCTGGAAGAAAGGGGGATTGGGATTAAAAATTAATAAACATGTATTAAGATGGGTGAAGGTAAAAGCACTTTAAAGTAGGTGACTGGACAGACACTGTATTAAAATGAATGTAAAACAAAATGTGTATGATTGATTGGAAAGCCAATATGCTTAGTAGACTTTCACTTAAGTCACAATTGACAGAGAAAAATAACAGCAAACGCACCCAACCCTGACATCTACAAATGAAAACCAGTTGTTTTACATATATATTAATTATAGAAATATTATTTACCTAAAGGCTTCTTAGAAATTGCTCACAAAGAGGAAAGTTCTCTTTGAAGTGACTTTATAAAAAAGTTCTTGCTATTTCTTTGATTAGGTGATCCGAATCCAGGACATTTTAGCAGACGAACCCAAAATAACAGTGGTTTACGCGGAAAATGGCACTGTGTTGCAAGGAAGTACAGTGGCCTCGGTGTACAAAGGGAAGATGCTGGTTGGCACAGTGTACCAAAAAGCTCTCTGCTGTGAGCTCTAATGGGCCTGTTCTGCTCTGTGCCATGGAGATCAGGAGCCTGTTATTTTCAACCATTTTTCACGTTCTAACGGGCTTCAGCGATCTCATCTGAACAATAAACATGGACTGGACCTTTGGACATCATGAAGGATCAGCAAGCTTTTCTGAGAGTATGGTATCAAACACATCTCAGACTACTTGACAACTTCACTCACCAATAAAATGGCTGAAATTTTCATGTCATTCATCATGTCTTAAATGTTTGTAACTTAAAAAGTACTTTCTTTAACACACATGTTTTGTTCAGGAAAATAAAGGATAACAGAATTAATTCCATGTGATGTCTGAAAATCCAGTACTGGTCAGGACTACCAGTTCACATGCCAGAAAAGCAAAAGGGAATTCTCAGTTCCAAGAATACCTGCTTGACTATGGCATTAGACATACGGCCATAGCTAGACTTACTTTTTCTATATATGACTTTCTTAGCAAATTAGGCTAATTACTCCAACTGTTCTTTTATTTTTTACTCTAACAATGACATGGAGGACAACCTTAAAATTGTGTGAGTGTTATGAGCATTTTAAGTGTAATTATCACATCAACATAGAGACGAAGGTTAAAAAAAAAAAACAAAACAACAAACAACAAACAAAAAAAACACTATCTCCCGAGAGTCATTGCTGTGGAGACAGAACCATCTCATACCTGACCCTCCAATGGCTTTTCCAGAAGCTGTAAACTACATAGTAAGAGACCACTCATATTTCTCCCTTGGGGCCATTGGTGGATTTGAACCATCAGAGACATTTCCACTTTTGGGTTGGCAATACAACTCACTACAACTAGGCCCCCAGAGTTCCCTGAACATGAGGGACCTAAATTACTACTAAACTGCACATGAGTTCTTTGACCAAATCAAAGGTGGCTATTTGTTTAACAATTGGATACAGGATCAGTCTTATCATTAACACAGTAAAGCCAAGTGCTTTAAAGAATACATTGTTATTGAGATGGTGATTACTGGTGGTGATCTCACCCCCCATGCCCCCGGGTTAACTTGCTGTGGATGTTGAGAAAAGAGAAAGGAAAAGATAACAAATTGGTCTTTTTCTAACTGGTAAATGTCTTTCATCTGCTCTTTTCTGTAGAATGCTTGTCTGTCAGATAGTATTACATATGTTTAAAAAATTGAGACAGACTAGGAAGAAGGATTGGCCATCCACTTCTGAAATTACAGCCCTTCGAAAACCCTATGTACAATAGAGCACACTTAGACTATCATTTGGACTAACATACATGACAATTGAAACGGAGATCTTAGAAATGGAAACACAGAGAAAGAGGAACAGCTGTAAGGAGACACTAGTGATTGGAACGTGGAATGTGAGAAGCATGAATGTAGGAAACTTGGACATTGTTAAGAAATGGAACACATAAATATTGACATACTAGGTATTGGCAAAATAAGATGGCTTGGTGTGGGACATTTTGAATCAGATGATCATATGATTTATTATGCTGGGGATAAAAAGGTGAGGAAAAATTGGGTTTGTTTTCCCATTTAAAAAGTCATTTCTAGATCTATCCTGAAATACAATGTGGTGAGCGACAGGATAATATCCATACGCATATAAGGAAGTCCAGTGAATACCACTATCATTCAAATATATGCACCAATAACTAGAGCCAAAGAGGAGGAAATAGAAGATTTCTACCAAACTTTGCAGTCAGAAATTGATCAAACATGCAATCAAGATACATTAATAATAATGGGCGACTGGAACGCAAAAGTTGGGAACAGGAAAGAAGGATCAGTAGCTGGAAAACACAGGCTTGGTGAGAGAAATGAGGCTGGAGATAGAATGATAGAGTTCTGCACATTCAATGATTTATTCATTGCAAATACCTTTTATAAGAAACATAAATGCAGGTTATACACATGGATCTCACCTGATCGTATGCATAGGAATCAAATTGACGACACTTGTGGAAAGACTCACTGGAGAAGTTCAATATCAGCAGTGAAAACCAGGCCAGGTGCTGATTGTGGGACAGACCACCAGCTACTCATATGCAAGTTCAAGCTGAAGTTGAGGAAAATGAAATTAAGTCCACAGGAACCAAGATTTGACCTTAAGTCTGTCCCACTCGAATTCCAAAACCATCTCAGGAAAAGGTTTGAGGCCTTGAGCACCAATGACAGTAGACCAAAGGAGCTCTGGGAGGATATCAAGAAAATCATCCACGAAGAATGCAAAAGATCATTACAAAGGCTGAAGAAGAAGGAGAAAAGACCAAGATGATGTTAGATGAGACTCTGAGTATTGCATTAGAGTGCCGAGAAGACAAAGCTAAAGGGAGAAACCAAGAAATCAAAGAGCTGAACAGAAAATTTCAAAAGGCAGCTCGGGACAACAAAGCAAGATACTATCATGAAATGTGCAGAGAGCTGGAGTCAGAAAATCAAAGTGGCCGGACTCACTCAGCGTTTCTTAAGCTGAAGGAGTTGAAAAACAAATTCAAGCCATGGGTGGCAATACTTAAAGATAATTTGGGTAGAATGTTAAATGATCCAGGAATTATCAAAAGAAGATGGAAGGAGTACACAGAGTCACTGTATCAGAAGAAACTGGCTGACATAGAGGAATTTCATGAAATAACATATGAGCAAGATCCTATGTTGATGAATGAGGAAGTTCAAGTTGCTCTGAAGGAATTGGTAAAAAGCAAGGCTCCAGGAGTTGACAGCATACCAATTGATTTATTTCAACAAACAGATGCTGCCCTGGATATGCTCACTAAGTTGTGCCAGGAAATCTGGAGGACAGCCAGCTGGCCAACTGACTAGAAGAGAATGATATTTGTTCCCATTCCAAAGAAAGGTGACACAACAGAGTGTGAAAATTATCAAACAATATCATTGATGTAACATGCAAGCAAGATTCTGCTGAAAATTATCCAAAAACTTTTGGAACAATATGTCAACAGAGAACTACCAGATGTGCAGGCTGGATTTAGAAGAGGTCATGGTAGTAGGGATATTATTGCTAATGTTAGATGGATCTTGGCAGAAAGCAGAGAATAGCAGAGGAATGTCTATCTGTGCTTCATTGACTATGCAAAGGCTTTTGACTGTGTGGATCACAACAGGCTATGGCTGACTCTGAAAAGAATGGGAATCCCAGAACATTTGATTGTGCTAATGTGAAACCTATACTTGGACCAAGAGGCAGTTGTCAGAATAGAGCCAGGAGATAATGGATGGTTCAAAATCAAGAAAGGGGTCCATCAGGGATGTATTCTGTCTCCATAACTTTTCAATCTGTATGCAGAACAGATCATCCGAGACACTGGGCTGTACGAGGAAGAATGTGGCATCAGGATTGGTGGAAGAGTCATCAACAACCTGCATTATGCGGATGACACAACCCTGCTTCCTAAAACTGAGGAGGACCTGAAGTGCTTACTGCAGAATGTCAAGGACTACAGCCTCCTATATGGATTGAAACTCAACAACAAGAAAACAAAGAATCTCACCAGTGGGCCAATTGGCAGCATCAGTATGGATGATGAAGAGACTGAGAGAGTTAACGGTTTTAGTTTACTTGGTTCCACAGTCAACACTCTTGGTAACAGCAGCCAGAAAATCAGGAGACAAATAGCATTGGGATAGTCAGCTGTGAGGGACCTCTCAAGAGTACTGAAGAGCAACGACATCAGGCAGGAGACTAAGGTGTGTCTGATCCAGGCTATAGTCTTCGCAATTACGTGCTATGCATCATAGAGTTGGACAGTGAATAGGGATGATAGAAAGAGAACTGATGCCTTTAAGCTGTGGTGCTGGAGAAGAGTGTTGAATATACCATGGACTGCTAGGAGAACAAACAGGTTTGTCCTGGAGATGGTGAAGCCAGAGTTTTCCCTGGAGTCAAGGATTCTGAAGCTTCATCTGACATACTTTGGGCATGTTGCACAGAGGGACTGCTCCTTGGAGAGGGACATCATGTTTGGGAGAGTGGAGGGACGGCGCCGGAGAGGAAGACCCTCGAGATGGATCGATTCTGTGAGTGGAGTGGTGGGAATGAGTATGTTTGAGATGGTGAGCTTGGCACAGGTTAGAATGGCATTTAGGGCTCTTGTACATAGGGTCACTATGAGTCGCCAGCAAGACCAACATTTAGCTATATTTTAAGGAACATGCCTTAGGAAGAACATATGACTATTTTCTTTTTATAAAACCTAATATGTGTGTTTGTGTAACTTGGGAAAGAGAGAGAACCCACGGGAGGGTCAGCTATGGGTCACTTCTACGTCAATAGTACGTTCTTGTTGTTGATTGCCATCAAGTCGAGCATGACTCATAGTGACCCTATGAACAAAAGGCCTTTCTATAACTATCGTCATATCTCAAAATTCAAAGTTTCCAGAGGCGTGTTGTCTAGGACATGGATGCCACACCAGCTTCCAAATATACAGATATGTGTATATATATATATATATAGATAGATAGATAGATAGATAGATAGATAGATAGATGATAGATAGATGATAGATAGATATAGAGATATATAGATGATTTGGGACATTTTTCTGACAGAGAACTGCCCACATCTTAAGACGCCACTGACTTAAAGATGTAAATATAACTGTTGTTAGGCCCAAACCCCATTTTTTCTCAACTCGGGATTAGAGCTTTTTTGTTGCTACTTCTGTGGAGCGAAGTATGCACCTGATGAGTGCTCGATCATTCAGGGACGCCGTTGACAACCCGGGGAGCTATATTCCTCTGAACTAGTTTTAACATATTCAATGACTACCTGTGTTTGTGTGTGCGTGGGGTAAACCAGGTGTTTCCTTTAAAAAGAACCATTTGAATAGATGCCTTCCATGAAGTTATCAGTAAAATACCATACTCTGGTTTTCTTGTATTCTTGATAAATGATTCAAATTGATGTTGTTAATGCTCATAATTATAAAGAGGACTTCTCTCCATATCTAGAGGCTTCATAATAACTCCAAGGGAA